AAAAAAAAAAAAAAAAAAAAAAGAAACCAGGTTAGTGAAGCTGTGGGATAGAAACAATTTTTTCTTTTCTACATTTAGCTGGAACACTTAAAGTAAGTACGAGGCCCATGGTGCATCATTGCACCAAAACCTTCACAGATGAGATGCTTGGATGAATTTTGTGAATGCGTACAGTCCATTTTAGCACAAAATCAGCCAGAAAAAATTCAGATAAAATCTTACATATTTTTCCCAAGATGACACTGAAGCAGTGGTGGGGATACCCTGCAGCTGTTTTACTTGCTATTCCTGGAGCAACATCCATCTGTCATCTGTCCAGATCCATTATTGCTGTAATATCTTTACACAGTTAATAAATACCATAAACTAATAAAATGCCAGCTCCTAGCCTATCAAGCTATCCTATCAGATCTCCAGCAGGAGGTCTCTTCCCACCATAAGAGAAGATAAGCTTAAAGGCTGGAGCAGTAAAGGAAATTATTAACAAGTATGCAATAAAGCAGAAGACACATAATTGTGTGGTGCTTCTCTGTGTCTTTGTTGGTTCTACACGCATCAATCTGGAATGTCAGATCAGAGCTGGAGCCAGAATGTCTTTGGGAAACAATGCATCTCCAAAGGAAAAAATAAGCAAGTTTATGAATTCTGTACAGAACATCCCTCTGGCCCTTGCAGCACAGAGCAGCCAAATGTTCACTGTGGGCTTAACCCCTTTCAGAGCATTACCTTCTGCAAATCTCCTCTAACTCCAAGTTTCCTTGGTGTTTTTTTTTTTTTTTTGTTGATGTTGTTGTTGTTTTTTGTTGTTTTTTTTTTTTCATTTCAGACAGATCTTTAACATGATTTAAATACTTCCATTCATTTGCATACTATTTAAGGATGTTCTGTTAGGTCAAGAGAAGAGCTTACAGCACTGAAATGGTTTGTTTCTTCTTGCTCTCCGAATCATGGCTTTTAATGAGCAGCAGGTAGATCTGATGAGAACTAAAATGTATCACATTTGAGACACCCTGTTGGCATGAGCTGCGAAACCTCAGCATTTCAGGAACTGAAGTGAGCTATGTGGGTGTTTTTTAAACCCAGTCCTTTGAGATGCTTTGCACAGCTTACAGCTTGTCTTCGTGCACCTCCCTCCATGCAAAGCAGATTCCAACATGATGGTTCTGCTGAATGGGTTCTGTCCCTGCCAGCAGCACCAGCAGTGGGGCAGGAGATTGGGAATGGTGCTGGACACTGGGATTAACCCCTTCCTCCATCATTGCAGTAGCTAGGGCAGTGGATTTGTTGTTGCCACTCTGCTGTAAGCCATCCCTGCATCTCCAGGGCTGCTCTGAGCTCTGTGTTGCCTTGTCATGCCCCTTAGACAAAGATCTTGTCTTCCTTGCCCAGTCTTGGTCCAGCTGTGCCTTCATGAATCAAATTCAGGGACCACTATTATTAACATAATTCACTCTAAAAACATGAGCTATTTGTTCTCTTAAGGCATTTAGCAAAGTCCACTGAGAAGCCTGGAAATCCTCCCATTGATTTCAGTGAGCCTCATGTTGTAATTCCTTCTCTGGAGAAAAAGAATCACCTAAAAGCAAATTAAAAATGCATTTGTTGTCCATTTTTCTTCCTGCTGTCTTCCTTAATCTCTTAGCAAACTTAGCATGCATCTGGTAAATCATTTTGTGTTTGCTACCTGGACAGCTGACTAAAACCTGCAGGAAAGTAGATGAGAAACCACTCTGAGAATCCTCATGTGAAGTGATCAGGCTTCACCCTCTCCCTGCTGGCCCGGGAAGAAGTCACCACTTGGCTCTATTCACACTGGACATTTGTTGTTAGAGAAATAGAGACATGATGGAACATTGCCACAAGATCCATGTCTCTTGCTTTTAAAATAAACATCTTGGCTTTGACTTGACGTTTATTTTCCATAAATGCCTCAGCCTCAATTTGGCATTTCAGCAGCAGCAGGAGGCTGTTATCCTGTGACAACACACAATTCCATTGACATTATCTCCTGAGCACGTGTGACAGTGTTCCAAATACTGCATGTAGTTAATTTCTGTTAAACAATATCAGAAAAATACAAAGCAAAGGTACCGTAGAACAGAATTTCCAGCCCTATGCTGTGTGTGTGACACTGTAATTCCACGGGGATGCTGTTACAAGTGTGAGCTACCTTAGGATGAAGCACACCCTGAGTTTGACTTCGAGGGTCCCAAGCAGTGAATGCTTATCAATTCCTGTTCACTCAAGAGCTGTGGCTGATGTGATGGTTAGCATGTACAGGACTGAGCATATCAATGTTTTGAAAAGCCCCAAACCAATCTGAACACACATAAATAAATTCTGATGCTCTGGAAATCCCTGTCATTGTAACCTAGCCATTGTACAGA